GTTCCCCCCCGGCTCCCCCCTCCTGTCAGGGAGTTGCAGAGCCAGAAGGTCCCCCCTGAGCCTCCTTTTCTCCAGGCTGAGCCTCCCCAGCTCCCTCAGCTGCTCCTGCTGCTCCAGATCCTTCCCCAGCTCCCTCAGCTGCTCCTGCTGCTCCAGATCCTTCCCCAGCTCCTCAATGTCTCTCTTGTCAAGATGGGCCCAAAACAGACACCAGGACTGAGGTGCCTCAGCAGTGCCAGCCCAGGGCACTTCCCCCTGCCCTGGGTGATCCACCCCCTGCTCACAACAGGCAGCACTCAGAGCTGTTATATGAGGGAAAAGCTGCTTTTACAGCTTTTCTGCTTCAGGAGTTTTAAGCTTCTGAGGGCTCCTCCATTCAGGTTTGTTGGGCTCTGGTGAAGCTTAATAGAGTCCTCTCAACAATTCCTCTGTTCTTCTACCTTCTTTGCCAGGTAACTACATCAGGAAGGAGGGGCAGGAAGCCGTGTGTCCACTCCAGGGGGGCTTTGGTAGGAGACACAGTAGAGCTCTGCAGCAACCATGACCTTAATCCTTTTCTAACCAAAGGAAATAGCATCTCTTCAGAGCATGCAGGAGATCTCCTTCATCCTGATGAGTCAATTAGGAGGAGAGATGGGTGCTGTTGAGGCTGAATGCCTGAGCTGGATTTTCCCTCCCTTTCTGAAGCTGAAGTGGGCTCTGGGAGGGGTTGAGCTGCAGACTTGCTGCTCCCTCAGTCTGGAAAACGAGTGTCCCCTCTGGCTGTTCCCAGGGTCGGGGTTATTCTTTCTCATGCTGCCAGTCAGCATCCTGGTGATGTGTTAAACGTGGCTGTGGGAAAAATATTGGTGCAGGGGCTCTGGTTTTGTACTGATTGTGTTTTCCTCAGCCCCTGCCCTGAGCAGGGAGGACAGCCTGCATTCCTGCTTTAATCTGGAGTGCCCTGTGTGTTTCTCCCTCCTTCCTGAGCCGGATCTAATCCCAGCTCTGCAGGCACGTGCAGAGCTGACACATGCACGTCTCACAGGAGGATTTTTCTTTTATCAGTTGTGCTCTGGCCTTCCTGCATTACAGTCACATGCCAGAGGCACTTCCCCAGGAGATGAAAGCAAGGGCTCATTTCAGGAGCAGGAATTTTCCTGCAAGTCCTTCTGCTGAGCTGTCTGTGTGCTGGGCTGTGGTATTTAGGGAAGCACGTCTCCAACCCCATAACTCCCCTCCCTGCTTCCATGGTCTTTTCTTTGTGACCATTAGTAGTAAAGAAGGAATGGTGCTTGGAATTTAGCAAGTACAGCACTGCTTTGGGAGGCTTTTGAAGTGTACTGAGCACAAGTTGGAGAGCAGTGCAGTGAGCAGCCCCTGGGGTAGCTGATGCCCAGAGCAGCCCATGCCTTGCCTGGCTCAGGTCAGGCTGGGGCAGTGGCAGGGTGAGAGCAGAGCCTGGCTCTGATTTCCAGCTCCTTCTCACACTGGTTGGTGCCAGTTCTGCTCTCTCTGCAAAGGGCACTAATGGATCAGGCCTGTCCTGGGGAGTGATACACAGTGGAAAAGAGTTTCTGTTAATATACAGACTCTGCACTCCTTGGGTGAATCTTTGGGTTCTGGTGCAGATGATTTGAGAGCCATCTTGTGGGTCACTTGTCCTCGCTGCCAGGAGTCCTTGTCACTGTCCTGGGGCAGGCATCAGTCCTGGCAGGGGAGATGCTCCATCCAACTCCACCTTCAGGCAGCATTAAGGTGAAGGACAGCTGTGTGTGCAGCTCCAGTGCCACACAGTGTGTGCACCCCCTCTCTGGGATGCTCCTTCCTCCTGGCTAACAGGATTCTCCTGTCCTCCTTTCACCTGGAGTGAGTGGCATTCAGCTCCACGTCATCCAGGTAACTGGAGATTTTCCCTGTCCCTTCCTGGCACTGCTGTGTGTGTACAGCACTGGCACGAGGGATCTCCCTCCCTTTGTCCCAACACTTGTACTTTCACATGTTGCCCTAAACCAGGACAAGTCCCCTGTGAAATCTGGCCTGATATTACAAGGAGTGCACGATCCCTGGTTTTTATTTCCCTGGTACTCTGGCTGTTAACACAGATCTAGCTCCTGGCTTCAGTTTGTTTTCCTCTTCAGTTGCAGCCTGAGAGCTGCCCAGCCCAGCTCCCTGGGATGCTCCAGCTCGCTGGCAGGGAGCAGGATGTGTGTCCCTGGCACAGCACATGGCTCCCTTGGCAGCCTGCCCGTGTTTGTGGAGCTGGGAGCTGCGGAGAAGTGGCCAAGAGAGAACCAACTGTGAGGAGTTGTTGGGAAGTTTTCATGTTGCTGGGGTAATGATGGCCTCAAGCTGTAGGGAAGGGGGGGGGAAAAGAACTCATTTATATCTTTCAGGAGGCCGGGTGGTACCTGGAGAAATGGGGGGATTCAGGATTTAGTTTGCACAAATACATTCCCTCACAAATGCTCCTGCTCAGGGTGCTGGAGCTGGAAGAGAATCAGCTTTGTGATTGTGTATAAATGAAACATAATTTAGTCTGGCAGCTTACAGGGTGTCCCTTTACAAGCAAGAAAAGTACTTTGATGCCCATCCTGCAGGTCGGTGCTGTGGGATCGATGTGTCTGCTGGAGACCTGTGGCTGTCACACGTGTAGCTGGATATTGGCAGGGACCCTGTGGATGCACAGCATGGAGGGGCTGGCTTGCCAATATAAGTAATAATGATCTTTTGTTATGCATTCAAAGGCATCATGCAGCAAAGCAGGAACAAATCCAGAGTGATCACATCAAATCCCTCTTATTTTATGGACGTGTGAATTAGGAGAACCAGTTAAAGGGAGAGAATCCAATCTGGAGCTGGTCCTGGCCAGTTTAAAATTGTCCTCCAAGTAGGAAATACTTGAAGGTATTTAACATGTCTTAAAAACCCCACATGATGTGGGCTGTCTCCAGGGAGCAGGTTGGTGGGGTGAGGTCTGTTCCTTGGTGGAACGTCGGGGCTGAGGCAGTGGGAATTGCCAGGCAAGAGCAGCAGAGTGCAAAAAGAGAAGCCTGAAAACAATGGCAGGATGAAAACATAATTCTGTTAACTCAGGGCATCTGATAAGAAAAAGCAGTAGGAGAAGAGGGGAAGGAAAATTTGGAGAGGGAAGGGAAATGAGCCGTTTTCTGCTCTTGGATTACACCAGCTCGGGCCTGTCATTGAAGTCATTTACACCAGGATAACCACGAACCTGTCCCAGAGCATTTCAGCAGCTGGAGGGGATTTATTTGGATGGAAAGAATGTGTTCAGCATAACTTGGCCAAATGACACCTATGGTGGACTTGGCAGCTGTCAGCAAGTATTTATAGGATGTAAACAGCAAGGGGGGAAGGAGGATGGAAATAGATCAAACCAGGGACAGAAAAATGGGATGCAAATGGGAAAAGGAAGGTTTTTACTGCTCTATGGCTTAGACTGCACAACATCCAGCCAGGTGGGGTGAGCTAATCCAAATGCTTTGTGCTCTTTGGACGAAGCATTTGAAAGCAGAGGCTGTAATTTTGGGCTGCTCTGAAGGCAATGGGCCTCCAGTGCCAGTTCCTCTGTTTCTGTAATGCTTCTGTAGGATGGACAGAGATCCTTCTCCCATTAGGGGATAGAAAATCAGATTTGATCAGGTGTTTATAGGATCAGACCAAACGTTCCACCTCTGCTCTCTCATTTCTGATGGGGGGTAGCAGTGATTGCTTCAGAAACGAGTATTTGCAGCAATTAGCAGCTTCTGAGCCTCCTGAACACCAGCCTGCACCTCCCATTTGTCTTCTTTAGTAGCCACTGACAGCCTGTACCTTTGATTCATCCTTTCCACATTTAAATCCATTTGTGGTTTGACCTCTTCAGCATGTGGTAACAGTGGTTTCCCCAATTTGTGCTTTACATACACCTGTCTGTGAATTCTTTCCTTTGCATTAAAATCTCTGCCTGGTGATATCATTGCTGGCCCTGCATGTCTCCCATCAGTCAGGGTCCTCTCTAGTCAGTGATTTGAGTTTAGTTTGTTCTTATGTGAAGTCCTTCCCACATTCTGGTCATCTTTTGTGCTTCTCTCTGTCATTTTCTAGCTCTGCTCCTTCTATTTGGGTGAGAAGTCTGAGCTTGCTCGCTGTTTTCCAAATGCCAGTCCATCCTGGATGTATGTTCTTATGTTTTCTGTTTTATTCTGGTCACTTTGATTTGCCACTTGAATTTGCACTGAACAGTAGGTTAATGTTTTCCCGAGAATATTCCCAGTGGTTCCCAAATCCGTCTGAGCAGAGCTGGATAAGGGTTTGTTGCTGTAGGGGCATTGCTGCTTCTGTTTTCCTCTTGTCCCATCTGAGGGTCATCTGTTATTTATCACTTGATTCCATCATTGCTCTGAGTTGCTTCTGCACTTTTTGAAATCAAGGAATACATTTACTCTCCTGAAGGAATTCGTATCATCCTCAATCATTGCCTCCTCATCTGCCCCTCTCCTGGGTCTGTGTGCAGACTAAACCTCTGCCCTCTCATGGCTGTTCATCTCTTCTTGCTCTTTGTTTTCATCTTCAAATTGGTTATTAATCCATGCAGTGCCCCCTCCCATGATCCCAGGCTGGCTGAGTTTCTGAGAAGAGCCACTGGAAAAGAAATTTGTGGAAAGAGCTCTGAAATCCAGCCACTCCTGGCTGCTTTGCAAGGACCACAGTAGATTTTGCTCCCTCAAAGCCACATTGACTCTCCCCTCTCCTGTCCTGGCTTCATTCTTGGCTGCTTCATCTCACTGCCTTTCATACCCAAGCCAGGCTGTGTGGTTGTGTTCCCTCAGATCCTCCAGGAGTCTGTTTGAAGATTCCTGCATTCACAGTGTTTGTTCCTGGCACTGGGGCTCGTTTGGGAAGAGACTGGCGGTTCAGCCGGCGCGTGCTCCGCTTCCTTAGGAGAACCATTCACGTCTTCAATCCTTTCAGTGGCTGCTTGTCTGATAATGGCTTTGTCCTTTCCTCCCTTGGCACAGGGGCTGCTCCCAGGTGGGTGTTATCAGGGCACTGATTGAAGCTGGAATCCCCGTGGACATGATTGGAGGGACGTCCATCGGCGCCTTCATGAGCGCCCTGTACGCCGAGGAGCGCAGCTACAACCAGATGAGGATCAAAGCCCGCCAGTGGGCCATGGTGAGCACAGGAATGGTGGAGGGAGAGCCCAGCACGGCCTTGGCAGCACCCAGGGAAGGTGAACCCAGCTGCATGTTGGTGTCTGTGCCACAGATTGGGCCCTTCCTGGCACCCTGGGAGAGCTGCTCCCTGTCCGAGGGGGCAGGAGCTGAATGCCCCACTCAGCTGTGCACAGATCCCACTCACACTGCCAGCACAGTGATGTTGTTTCAGGGTGTTCACCTGTGTTTATCTTTGTTTTACCTTCTCTTTTTATGTGCTGGAATCTGTTTCCTTTCCGACTCTCAACCAATGTGTTTCTCTCTTGTGTGATTCTCTCTCTCTCACATGCTGTCAGTTGTCAGTGGAACTGAGTGACAGAGGTAATCCTTCTCTAAACTAACTACAAACGTGTCATTCCTGGTCCTGCCTGCACTTCACACTGCTGGGACTCTGGGCCAGGAGAAACTCTTAACTTTCAACATTTAGTACAAACAAAAACATATTTTCATAGTTAACCCAAAGTTTGGGAAGGTTGTTTTAAATGGTGACTTCAGTGGGTGAGTTTATTTATCATGGAATCACAGACTGGTTTGGGTTGGAAGGGACCTTAAAGCTCATCTTGTTCCAACCCCCTGCCATGGGCAGGGACACCTTCCACTAGCCCAGGTTGCTCCAAGGCCCATCCAACCTGGCCTTGTTTTTATTTATTGATAAGATGTTGGAGAAAAACTGTACTAGCAGCAGGTGAAACTGGTTCAGACTGACTGAAGGTGAAGGTGGGTGTTACTTCTGAGGTTTGCTGGTTACAAGTTGGTATTTTCATATCAAACCTACATTTTCCTGTAGGTTTTCTATTGAAAATGAAGTGACCCAGGGAATTTTGTAAGTGAGATTAAGCTCTGGGTCATCTCAGATCTTGGGTTTTAGGGGGAAATAGGAGCCTGTTGTTGGCACATGGACAGTGTTTACCTCTCCCACGTGTCTTCTAACCTGCCATGGCTTTGAGATGGAGTGTACTGCATCCTGGTAAGATCATAAAATCATAGAATGTTAAGGGGTTGGAATGGACCTTAAAGATCATCTTGTTCCAACCCCCTGCCATGGGCAGGGACACCTTCCACTAGCCCAGGTTGCTCCAAGCCCTGTCCAACCTGGCCTTGGGCACTTCCAGGGATCCAGGGGTAGCCACAGCTTCTCTGGGCAACCTGTGCCAGGGCCTCCCCACCCTCACAGGAAAAAATTTCATCCTAATATCTAACCTAAATTCCCCTTCTTTCAAGCTGTGCCCATCACTCCTTGTCCTATCACTGCAGTCCCTGACAAAGGGCCCCTCTCTGGCTTCCAACCTCCTTTGCAGGCTGGATAGTCTGGGGTACTAAATGCAGACTGAGGCCCTGACATGTTTGTGCTGTCCTGGTGGGCAGAGCACTGTGGGGCTCTGATCACCTCCCTGCCACTGTTTGCAAGAAGAATGTGGATTTTATGCTTTTTATTTAAGAACTGCCTGTGCCTGGCTGGGTTGGGAAGCACCCAAAACATAAACTGTTTATGATCCAGAGCAGTTTGCTGGAATCACAAAGCTGGAGGAGGCTCAAGATTAAGCACATAAAACCAACTGCTCTGAGTTGTTTCAGACACCCCTTTAACCTTGCACTCTATTTCCCACATTGGTCACCACCAAGTGCTTACAGGGCAGCCCCTGAGCAGGATGAGTGTGTGGTGGTACCTCCCTGCACTGTTTTTCCAGCTCCAGCACCCCATGGCTCACTGCCCTCTCTCCCAGCTCTAGGCTACAGCCATGGAATTTTCCTCTTTTCCAGAGTGCTCCCTGGTTGTTTATTACCTTGTCAGATCTCCTGTGCAGGAGGTGAGTCAGAACTGTTTCCTGGGCTTCCCAGGGCTGTGCTCCCATCCAAGCCAGCTTCATTTCCAGCACTGCAGCTCTGGACCCTGCCAGCCTAAGCTGGAATCACACTCACTTTGACCAGGAATAGTTAAGGATGAAATGAAGGCATTTAATCAGTTGATAGCTTTTGACCACGAGTTGCAAAGCTCAGAGAACGTTTCACAAAGGAAAAGGCAAGTTTTTCCCAGCCCTGGGCTGTTTAAGGTGTTGGAACCTTGAAATCTGCAAATAAGTAGTAGGAGGAGAGGTTGATGATCTCTCTTAGAGCAAACATTTCATCTTATTAATGAAGAATGGATTTTCCTGAGGTCTTTCATGAGTGTTCTGATAGATCCACATCCAACCCAGAAACTGTTCAAGGCTTTGAGAATGACAAAAGCAAAGCCTGCTCTGTTTGGGGCCTGTCCCACTGGTAACAGCACTGTCCAGAGAATGGCTGCACTGTAAGTTAAAGAGCCATGAAACCCTCTCTCCAAGATCACAGTGAATGTTCAGAGTGGTTTGGGGGACTGTAAATCTTTTTATCAGTGGCTGTTCTGAGTTATTGTCTCTTGTGTTGCAGCAGCTGTGGACTGAGCAAGGAAAGGGGCTCCTTTCCCTGAGCCCCAGCTCTGTGGGGAACAGCAGAGAGTTTGCTGGGGGTTCTTGGGAGATCCACCCAAAGGGACTGAGTGTGGGAGAGGTGACAAACCCATCAGATAACCCCCAAATTCCCAGTGTGCCAAAGCTGCAGGACCATTCCCGCTGTTCTCCAGAGCAGGACCACTGTGGGAGGTGGTGGCTGTGCAGGAGATGCTCTGGGAGCTCCTTTGTTCAGCCAACATTATACAGGAAGGCTTGAGCATTCCCTGCTCCAGAACCTGCTGATCCTGCTCCTCTGGAGCTGTCAGCTCGTGCTGGTGAAGGTTATTGCTGAGAGCTCTTTGTGCAGGTTCTTGCAGCCTGGCTTTTTCAGCCTGGGGACAGTTTGGAAATGTCTTCATTGGGATGGATTAGTTAACTCTGATCTGTTTTTATTTATCTTTTAAATCCATCAAACTAAACGCTGGGTTTGTCCTGCAGTTATTTCTGGGTTTGGTATTTTTGGAAATTGGCATATCTCTAGTTGTACACTTGGGGCTGGGAGAAGGGGTGTTTTTAATGGAATGTGTTTTCTGGACCAAATGAAGCAGCAAAGAAATAAATGACTCTTTTTTCAAAATACAGAGGGATATGAAAATTCCAAGTCAGACTAGTTACTATTTATTGCTTCTGTGTATCTTCTATACCTCAATTTAACCAGCAAAGCAAACAAGCCAAAGCTTTCATGTTTGCAGATTGTTGGGTTTTTTAATTGGAGAATTAATATTTCGAAGTATAAATATTTCACAAAGAGTGGAATATTCTACTGTGGAAGGGAATATGGTTATAGGAGTATGGTTTCTATGGTTATAGAAAGCTAAAAGGCTTTCCATGATGGGAAGGAGGGGTGGCTGGGTGGGATGATGGGCCATCTGATGTCTGCCACTGTCTGTGGTGGCACCAACAGCTCCAATAAACGTGGGGGATCTGAGGCAGCAGCCCTGAGGTTCTGCCTCTGACATTGCTCTAGTATTTGCCCATTGGGAGATATTGTGGTTTAATGAGCTGCTCTGGCCAGAAATTAGTCTTTTTGGGGGTTTTTCCCTGTCGTGGTACTGCCCATCCAGCTCCGTGAGCTGCTGCAGAGGCAGCTGGGCTGGCCCAGGGCATGGGGGGGCAGAACCAGCAGCCTCAGCTGGGTCAGATCAATCTGCTGTTAGACTGGATGCTGATACTTCTCATGAAATCACAGAACCACTGGAAAGGACCTTTAAGATCATTAAGTCCACCCACCACTACCAAGGCCACCACTCAACCCTGCCCCCAAGTGCCACCTCCAGGGATGGGGACTCCACCTGGGCAGCTGTGCCAGGCCTGGACAACCCTTTCTGTGAAGAAACTTTCCCTGATGTTCAACCTGACCCTCCCCTGGCACAGCTGGAGGCCGTTCCCTCTCCTCCTGTCCCTTGTTCCCTGGGAGCAGAGCCCGACCCCCCCCGGCTCCCCCCTCCTGTCAGGGGGTTGGAGGGAGTGAGAAGGTCCCCCCTGAGCCTCCTTTTCTCCAGGCTGAGCCCCCCCAGCTCCCTCCATCTGTTGTTTTGAGGAACAAGCTGTTCTCTGCCATCCTGGGGGATGCCCACACCCACAGCCCCTGTGGGACCTGGTGCAGGGTGGGGATGGATTGGGAAGGTGGAGGAGCAGCGTGGGGCTCAGGAGCAGGGCTGGTGGGGAGGGTGGGATGCCCACAAATGGTCTCTTTGCTGAGGAGGATCATTAGGAGGTGCAGTGTTTTGTAAATCACTTCTCATCCCACAATCTGATTTGGTTCCCGTGCCAGAATTTATGTACAACAACAGCTCTGAGCCCTGCAAACAAAGCCAGGATCTGAGCTGAGCAGGGGAACGGTGCCAGGCTGGATGGGCACAAGGAACGGGCAGGATGGTGTGGGAAAGGCACCTCCTGAGCACAGATCAGCTGGGAACTGGTGCCAGTCCCTGGGTGAAGGAGTGTTGGGGGCTGCTCAGCACTGGGTCAGGCACAGCAGGAGGGAACAGGGGCTAAAGCAGCTTTAACACACCCAGTGAGTCCAGAATAACTCAGAGGTTCGTTACAGGTCGTGTGTTAATTAACAGGCACATATTGTCTCTTCACTGGGGTTGATGAGCTGCAGAGACCCTGCCCTGGGTGTCCCTGAGCTGCAGAGACCCTGCCCTGGGTGCTGGGGCTCGGGGACAGTGTCCCCCTGCCAGGGGGCACAGCAGAGCTCTGGGACTTCGGGATTGCATCTTTAAAACCTCCTCGAGCAGTTGGGAAGTTTGATTCCCCAGGCTGCTCTCCAGCCAGCAATTAGAGCAGGGCAGATTGCTTTTCCCTTGGCTCAGCCAGCTGGAGTGTTCCCTCTGCACAGGGAATTCTGCATTTCAGAGGATTAACCACAGAAGACCAAAAGTGCTGGCTGTGTTTTGTTAAATCTTATTTTTTTTAATATTAAGAGCTATAAGAAAAATCTTCTTTTATGTAGTGGTCTGGTTCATATTTACCATTTAAGTTGTGTTATTTGGAATGTTGAAGTTAACCCTAATTCAGAGTTGGAATTTGGGAAATTCAGGTAAAAGGCTGCCTGCAAAATCCCAACGTGCCTGTTGCTTTGAAGCTGAGGCCCTAAACCATCCTAGTCTGACCCTGCAGTGATCACATCACTAATGATCATGCAGATGAGATGCTAATGAATATTAACCCTATTTAACAGAATGGCTACATCTGATTTAGACATACCCCTACCTCCTCATCCGTTTCTCACCTTTACCTGCCTCAGAGGTGCCTATGGTGTCTTGGATTCATTCTAATTTTATTAAACTCTTAGGTTTCTTAATAGTTTGCCTTTAAATCTGAACTCCCATGATCTGTAATTCCTGCCTTCAGGATAAATCTATCCCTGTAGTGCTGTTTACCTGAAACCGTTGCCCTGAGTTATGTTTTTATTTTGTCTTTAACGTTTTTCTGTGTGAATTCCTTTGCTTTTATCATTAAAACTTTATACAGGAACGCTGAGGAGGCACTAAAGGAAAATCTGGATGCTCTCTGGAGTAATTTAAAAAAATATTGGAAATTTTTTAAATCGTTTTTAATTTTTTTAAACTGTTTTAAATTTTTGGTCTTGCGACAGGTTTTCCCATACCTTTGCTTTTTTTTATAGACTCAGGAACACTAAAAAAATCCCAGGATTGTCTTGGGTTTTGACACCAGTTTACCACAGTTTACTATCAAAACCCAAAAGAGCCAGAGATGAAAATTCCTCTTGTCCCTCATCCCGTGTGTTTGCTCTTGTCCTTCTGCTGTGTGAGCAGAACCTTGTCCTTTCCTTGCTGAAGCTGCTTTAAACCCCAGGGTCGCTTTAATAAAAGGTTTTAGGATTGAAGGTCTGTTTTAAAAGAAAGCTCACCTTGCAGCAGAGCTGTAGAAAAAAAATTTATGAGAATTTAATGAAAAATTAGGAAAAAACTCTTCCCTGTGAGGGTGGGGAGGCCCTGGCACAGGTTGCCCAGAGAAGCTGTGGCTGCCCCATCCCTGGAAGTGTCCAAGGGCAGGTTGGACAGGGCTTGGAGCAACCTGGGCTGGTGGAAGGTGTCCCTGCCCATGGCCCTTGAGCTCTTGGTAGGAAGTGGAGCAAGAACCAGGAGGCTCCATCTGCCTTTCCAGAAGGTGACCTTAAACTTGATTTATCTGGGAATAGGAGGTGGGAGCAGCTGTTCTTGGAAGGCTGAGGGAGGCTGTTGGCCATCAGCATCAGCTGGAAGGGCATCTTCCAGCTATGAGAATATTAAGGAATAACTGTTCATTAGAAGTATTTTGTTCATGGACAGGCTCACTGTGGGCATTAGTTGCAGGGGAAATGTAGAGGCTCAGCATCAGAAATATCATTTGCTGCAAGGAAAGTGGTTGGTGCTGAGTGGGAGAGGTTTTTCTTCAGTATTAAATAAAGGGCTTTTTGTAAATGCCTCTTCCCCTGATCTAATCATTGTGACTACTGTCAGAGACCTAAGCCCTATTTTAAGTACAGAAGTAATTCCATTTCAGTCTGAAACTGTGGGTAGCATGTCTGTACTCACCCCTTCAAACCCCACATGAAGATGTGAATGAAGCTGACTGTTCATAATTGGGTTTGTGCTCAGGCTTTTACATTCTCCCACATTTCCTGTTCATATACTTGTTTTTAAGGATCTTTTTTTTTATACCTGGGCATGTATTCTCTGGGTAGATCCCCTATATATATATTTAAAAGCAGCTAATCCTGCTGCTCTTTAAATCACTGTTAGAGTGAAGCCAAGGCCAGATGTTGCTCCCAGCTGCTTTAACAGCAGGTTTGAGGCTGTTCCATGTTCTGTGCCTGGCTATGATTCCCTGCTCTCTGGGAAGTTGTTTGTTAAATTATAGAGAACATGTAGAGAGAGAAGATACTTCATCCAATAGAAATATTTCGCCCAGTGAAACCCAATTTAATTGGGAAGGGATTAATTGGTTTTTTTTGTCATCTATTACATTTTAACTGTGATGCAATATATAAAGCAGCGAATTTTGTTAGGATTTATTAGGATTTGACACCAATACTCTGGTTATAGACAAATACAATGGTCATAATGCCATAAAGGTCAGGGATTTTCATCCTTTTATCTAATAGGTTAGTGCACAGGTGTATTAATGCTGTTGAAATGGAGAAAAAAGAACCCCATGAAAGCTTAATTCCAATAGATGTGTGTTTAAAGAGACACAATGCCTGGTGTGTGCTGTAAAAGGGCTTTATAATGCCTTAAGAATCCTGATGGGGTTTGGTTTCTCTGGCTCGTGCAGAGATATTGTAGCAGTATCCAAATGCTGAGTCCATAACATACATAACCAAATAACTCAGTTTGGAATGGCAGATTATCAACCCTGAGCCATGGAAAGTGTTCAGAGCTCTGTGACACGTGGCTGACTGAACATTGCTGCAGTCCCAAGGAAGCCCAGACACAATTTTCTAGGTGCTTAAACACTGAGGCAGAGAAAAGCTTCCAGACTGGGAGAAAAATGAGGTGTGACCCCAAATGAGAGGAGATGGACTAAGGGATGGATTCCTCTGCTGTGGATTTATGGTTCCCTTCCCACACTGCTGAACCAGCAGAAAGGATGGTGAAGAGGGAGATAACTCACAATATCTTCTTGTTGTTTAACAAATGATGAAGGATAAAGCTGCACCATCCATGTGCATGTGCAGAGGCTGAGCTGCTGCTTTGTGGATGGGCTGATTTTGGGGCACCAGGGAAGCAACACAATGCACATTTTTCCAGCTTTGTTGCAGACTGGCTGCTGAGGTTGCTGCTGCTTTTGGTTTTCCATTTCTGTACCACACAAGATGCTCCTGGCTGTGGTTTTTGCAGGTGTATTTCTGCCCCCTCTGCACCTTCTGCACTCACACTTGTGATGCTTCTGGCATGTCGGCTCTAAACTCTGGAATATGATGTCTCTGGAATTGCAGCCATTAATGCTCACATTCATATGGGTTCTGGCCTATATTTACCTCTGAAATACCTTTTTTTTTGTTGTTTATTTTTTAGGTTATGAACTCGGTGTTTAAGACTATTTTAGACCTGACCTATCCAATAACCTCTATGTTTTCTGGAGCAGCTTTTAACAACAGCATCAACAACATCTTCAAAGATAAGCAGATAGAGGTAGGTGCTTATTCACCTCATGTTTAGGGAATGATGTCACTGTGTTCTGTTGGAGCAGAAATAGCTTTTTTCCCATGCTAATAAGGAATCTGGGGCTGTGGGATGGCTAAAAATATGGTGGAAGTGTGAATGGGATGTTACATGACTATAGGAAGGAGCCTATTCTTTCTTTTTGGTGGATTTAGGAAACACAAGTTGTAGATTATTTGTAACCACTTCTGTTTGACAAAGGGATCCCATTGTCTGAGAGCACAAGTGACACTCGTGACACTTGTAGGAGAATTGCTGGACTGTTTCATCATTATTTTTCTGCAAATCAGGTCTTCAGAGACCTTCAGGGCACACCAGAGAAGGGCTTGAATTGGGTAGCATTGGGTTTGGCTTTTTTAAAATTTCATTTTTGAAGCTGGAGTGAGTTTTTCTGAGCAGCCTGCTGAGAACTGCAGCAATGGCAGAGTGTGTTGTGTCCTGGTTTGCACTTGGTGACCTTTTTGCAGTTGCTGGGCGTTGACAGGTCCACCTGAGCCAAGAGCCACCTTGGGAGCCCCACCTGTCCTTTGTCCCTCAGCAGCAGCAGATTGTGAAGCACATTATCCATGTTTGTCTTCCTAGATCACCCAGCTTAGGGAGTGTTTGGATAGCCTGGCAGTCTTACCTCATTTTCAATTTTAACCGAATTATTCCTGTGTTTGGAATCCTTGTGATGAAAGGTTATGTAGCAAATCAACACTGTACAGACTTTAAATATATTTATTAAAAATAATCCAAAACATTCCCTACTGAAGTGAAAGTATGAAAGTAAGTGATTAATCATCACATGGCTGAAAATAGCAGTTTGTTGTGCAGAGGGGATGGTGCTGGAAACAAACAGGTTTGGGAGTGATAAGTCCTTCAGAGACTGGGATTATTTTTGTGGTGTTGTTTGGGCAGACCCAAAATCATGTGGGTCCCTTCCTGCAGTGCTCCAGCTCCTATCTTTGGTTCAGCAGTGCCTGGTGGAAAACATGTGATTGTCCAGGGACTGTCCAGCTCCTCTGCACTTGTTTGGATGTGGATTCCTGGCCTCAGGCAGAGCCCTCAGAGTTCCACTTCCCCTCTGGGTTCCCCTGGAGTGAGTTTGGGTGGAGCAGGGCAGGGTGGGGCTGGGGGATAACGCTGAGCAGAGGATTGAGGAGAGGGGGACAACATGGAAGAACATCTCCTCTGAGCTCAGGTGTCCCTGCTCTATGGAATCATGGAATTGTTTAGGTTGGAAAAGCCCTCTGAGATGGAGTCCAACCGTTCCCCCTGCACTGCCAAGGCCACCACTCAACCACATCCCCAAGTGCCACATCTGCACATGTTTGAACACTGCCAGGGATGATGATTCCACCACAGCCTGTTCCAATGCCTGACCACCCTTTCCATGAAGAAGTTTTTCCTGCTACCCAACCTAAACCTTCCCTGGCACAGCTCAAGGCCATTTCTATCTATCACTGCTTGGATTCCAGCAGTCAGTTCATTGTACTTCCCTTTTAAGATGAAACAGGTTCCTTTCTTAGGAATTGTAGCACCTGTAGTTGCATGTTCTGTTCTACCCTTGCAGTCACAGGAAGGTTTTGTCCAAGAGAACACCAGTTCTGGAACATCCAACAGCATCACCTCTGTGAGTCTGTGCTGGGCATCACCAGCAAAAACCCTCCTGCCCAGAGGTTTCCTCGTGTGGGAACTTCCCTCAGATAAATAAGGACAAATGTTGTGTAGCTCAGCCAGGAAAAGGCAGTTATTCCTTCATTGCAATTCCCACTATCAGCACAGGATAACCAGTCCTGGCACTGGGCAGAAGAACTGGGAGCTGCCCAAGGGTAAAGGGTGACTGAGGAAGTCACAGGAGCTGCACTAGGAAACATGAAGCCTTGAACAAATGTTTTGTCAAAGCACTATTTAAAGCATCCAAACTGCAGACATCCATCTTTTCTCAAGAGTTGCAGTGGGTTTGGGTGGGTAGCAGTGATTTCCAGCTGGAAATAGGTATTAATAATGTAAGAGTTAATTACAGCCTTACAAGCAGAGGGTGTGTTTGGAGGCTTATCCACAACTGCTCCTTCCCGGGAGGATCCACAGGGATTGTAGCAGCACCTGGGAACTTCCTCCCCAAGGGGCTGGGTGGGTACTGACCCTCCCTCTTAAAAGCTTCAAATTAAGAAGCACTGGGCTGGATCCTGCTTTTTGCTGCCCATGGCTGTGAGGTGACACACACGTGTCTCCTCCCCCTTCTGCCTCAGAGCCGGGAGCAGAAGCGCTTACGTTGAGCTGTTATTTCTGACACTGAAAGGGAGGTTTCCATTTTCTTCCGAATTTGCCAACCCTTCCTTGCAATGTGGGTGTCTCTGAATTCCCAGCAGTGCTGCTTGTGGGGGAGCCCTGGTGACACCAACCCCATCACTGCTGCAGCAGCTGCCAGCCAGGGGTGCTCCCCGAGCAGGGATCAGGCTCTGCACGTCCTTCCGAGGGCACATGGAAACCCAGGACAGGGCACTGGGACACAGAAACCAAGGATAAGGTGCTTGAAGGAAATTTCTCAAGAAACACAGTTATTTTCCTCTGAAACCATCTATCCTTTTTGGGAGAACACCAGGCTCTGGAATTTTTACTTGCCATGCCAGAATTTTTATCCTTGTGCCAAAATGCTGTTGTAAGCTGGAGGTTAATGTGTGAGGAACCAGACAAGGTTTTATTAAGTCCTGTTTCAGACCAGTGGAAGGATCCCTGAGCAATGCAATCTTTATTCCTGCTGGTAGGGCTTGGGTTCATTTCCTCTGGGCAGGTGTTTGAAAGGACGTGTCAGAGAGGCTTCTTTCCCCATTCCCCTCTTTTTACTTAAAACATGGTTGATACACTGGGATCTGCAATTACCAGAATATCTTCAGCATGGAGAGGCACCCTAATACTCCCATAGTCACACTTTATTCATCCTCCTTCCTCTGGCATTTACACCAGCTGGGTTGTGATACTGGTGCAGTATCTGTGAGTCCTCCCCAGCCCCACCATCTTTGCAGAGCTGCTGAAGAGATTAAACTCTCTAGAAATAAGCCTGTTTCATGGCAGTGCAGAATTTCAGATTGAACAGCACAGAAACTCACAGCAGGAGTTACAGCCTGACCAGTGAGGGAGGGCTTCCAGCTCCTACTGGCACTGGAGTCCAAACCCAGTTAACTGGAGTTTAAGACCCTTCAAGGCTGTGCTACAGAAGGCCCAGACACTGTGCCCCAGAAACAAAGGCCAGCTGGGAAGGCAGATTTTCCTCTTCAGTGTTGTTTCAGCTTTGCTGATTGACAGAGCAGCATCAGCTGTTCTCTGGGATAAGCTCAGTTTACTCAGACAAGTCCTGCTCCTTCCCCTTCCCAGCTACCGTTTCACCAGACACCATGGAGACTTTCCAACACTGTCCTCCCTCCAGCAAACCCCTGTGCAGGGGGCAGGTCACCATTCCATTTGCTTTTTCCAGGATGTGAGTGCAGACATGGCTAAAGGAGACCTTCCCCTGCCAGGAGCAGGGCTGGCTGCTTTGATCTGGTCTTGCTGAATAAACTTACACAAAGCACTTACTTGGCTTGGCCATTCTTTTTGTATCTCACCCTCCTTCTTCTGTTCCACACTCCTCTGCTGTGTTACCCTACAGGGTCTCATTCAACTTCTGGGATCTTCTTGGAGATGTGCCTTGCAGGATCCTTTGTTCCTGCAGCTCATGCTCCAAAGGTTGGTGTTGCCAGCTTTGGGTCTGCGTTTCCCGCTCAAATGCCCCCTGGCCCCATCACCAGGAGGTACAAATTGTTCAGCCACGAGGCCGTAAATCATGTTCTTCCCTCTTTGCCTTGGGCTGTGGAGTCTCAGGGACCAAGGCAGGGAAGATGCTGCCCCGGTTGGGGTTGGGGAAGTCAATATTTGCACACTGATCCCTGGAGAACATGATCATGGGAGACTTGCTGGGAATGGGGGACAAACATCCCCCGAGTGGAACCAGTTGGTTGCAATGCAGGGGCCACACTGGTGAGGTCAAAGATCTCTCTTGCTTAGTGCCATGTCCCCAGGGGAGGCCAAAAGCAGCAGGTGTTGTGACCTAGATAAGAACCAAACATCTAAAAGCTGAGTCTTCCCTTCACCTTGTCCTCCAGCACCAAACAGCCTCGGGATCCCTTTGGATGAGAGTGGGGCCATCAAACCCCCACCCTTCCTGAGAGGAAAATAAAGACATCACACAGAAGGTGACCTCTGGTTTGAGTGAGGAGGCCTCTCTGTGCTGGACAGTCTGCTGGAACAAGGGCTTCTTCTACTAAAAAAAAAAAAAGGAAAATAAGGATTTTTATCTGCCTTGGTCCTGAATGAAATGTCTGCATAAGAAACAAATGTGTGAACTCAGACACAGGGCTGAGGGGTGTTCCTCCAGCTCTGTCTGCTCTGTTTGCAGCTCTGTCTGGTAAGATCCAGAGGTTGTTGCTTTGGTTTGTGTCAGGCAGGGGGGGTAGGTAAGTGCAAGGTTTCAGATTTACTAAAATTGGGACCTCCTCTGTTGCAGGATCTGTGGATTCCTTACTTCACCATCACCACTGACATCACTGCCTCAGCCATGAGGGTCCACAGGGATGGTGAGTATGCAGTTGACCCTCTCCAGGTCTTAAATTGTGATGTGAGGCTTCAGGGTCACTCCTTATGCCTGGAATTTTCCTCACCTTTAAATCTGTCTTTCCTTTTGTTTTTCCCTTCTCTGTTATTTGCTGAGCTCCAAACTGGGGTTGTACACAGGTAACAAGGAAGAGAGCTGTGGGGAAGGCATTAAACAAGATGCTGAATTCACTGTTTGGGGAGAAAATGGGCCCATTGGCACCATTCTGTTTCCTTAGATCATCCCTTGAAGTGCAGTTGTTTTAGCCACAAATCAGACTTAATGCAATCAAAACCTTTTAAGATTCAAATTCCACATTACAAAAAAAAAAGTCTGTTTTCCCCAAGAACAGATTTCTGTGCCTGAAGCAGAGGCTGGGTTAGGTTCTCATTTGTGGCCAGTCCTTATTTCTCTGGAGGAAAACTGATGTACTTCAGTGAGTGAGCAGGGAGAAATATCCGAGCTGCTGACCTGGTGACACCCCTGTGGGACACTGGCTTTGGCTTTTGTCTATTTGGGGTGACAGGGCAGTGACTCAGACTCACTGAAGGCAGCACAGGCCTCCAGGTGCCCCAGATATTCCCTTGGGGAGCTGAAGCCTTTGCTGCCACATCTCTGATGTTCTGTCCTTGGAGCTGGCTGGGGTAGGACTGTCCACTCCTGCTGTTCAGGAGCAGGAAGCCCCTGAAGGACATGGGGCTTTGATCAGGGGCAACCAGGTCAGTAAAACAAGCAGAAAAAGGATTAACTCCCTTTAGGGGCTTTGTATTCCCATTCCACAGCAGGTTAAGCAAATTGAGGTCAAGAAAGTCACTCCATCCAGCTGCTTGTCCCTGTGGAAGTTTAATATAAGGAGAGAAATCAGCTGGAGAATCTTTATGGTCATCTTCAGAATTCACTGAAGGGAGAGGAATTAAGTTGCCAGCTGCTGTCATTTCCCATCTTGGTTTGGTCTGTGAGGTGTAACACAAAAAGTCAGCATTTTTCTTAGGTGGAACTTCCAACTCAACTCAAACTATTCGAACTAAACCCCAAATCTGGCAGTGTTAACCTGTGCTAACAGTAGGAGTGCTGGGGTTATAATTAGAAACAGAACTGTGATCTGTTTGAAAAAGAAAAAATCAGTTCCCAGTTTGCTGGGAAGAGTTGCTGTTTGAAGCACCAGGCAGTTAATTACTGAGCACTGAGCCAACACTGCAAGGCTCACTTACTCTTGATATTTTAGAGATTCACTTCTCAGACAAGGCCCCTTGGAAATGCAGTGTCTTCCCAATTCAGCTGATGCAAATGTTAAGAGAAGAATCAATGTTTAAGAGCCTTAAAGTAGAATGTTTTAGAGGAAACAGATCCAATCCATTTCTGCTTGATTAAACTTTGTTTCTACCAGCTTAAAGGATGATAACTTAGTTCCTTACAGCACTGACAGAAGTGGTCCAAGAGGAGATGTGATCCCCACCAAGCACTTGCAGTGGTTTCACAAGTGAAAACATTTGCTTGTTACAGAGGAGGGAAGAGAGAATTTTTGGGCTTTTACAGCATGTATTTTTCATGTTCAGGTCCTGCTAAAAGTCTGTGGATCTCTGTAGAACTTAATGGCTTTAGCTGCACTTGTTCTGTGTGTCCCCCTGTCCCCAGGAGGAGCCTTTCCCTTCCCTTATCAGCCTCAGCCCCACAAAGCCCTGAAGATGATTCCTGCAGTCAGGCATATGCTGAGATCTCCTTGAAGGCAGTAAATATGAGGCATGGGCTTGAAACTCTGGGTTCTGGGGCTTTTACCTGATAGTGTGTTTGCATAATCTTGGTTTTTTTCCTAGCCAGGATTTTGGTATAGAAAATAATAAACTGCTTTAATAAGTTCCTCGCAGTGTTCTGAGGAAAGCCTCTGCCTCCTGATTATTTTAATGAGTGCACAAGCCTCCCCCCACTGTGGCAGTAACTCGTCATTAATGCTGGTTCCATCCCTCCCTCCCACCCTGCAGGCTCCCTGTGGAGGTATGTCCGTGCCAGCATGTCCCTCTCGGGGTACATGCCCCCCCTGTGTGACCCCAAGGATGGGCATCTCCTCATGGATGGAGGCTACATCAACAACCTTCCAGGTAGGAGCACAGCTCAGCTGGGAACAAGTTCCCAGGACAGCCCTTCAAACAGCTTGCAAACCTTGGACCCTTTTTTCCTCCATATCTTCCCCCCAAAAGGAAATGTGGTGGTTTGAGACCCCCAAATATGGAGAAATCTCACAGACCTTTAACGTCATGCTCCATAACCTGCAGTCCTTGTTCTCAGTTTCCTGGGTGTTTCCTTTATTATGGCTTTATTAACACTTACTTTTTGTTCTGAAGTATTTCCTAGCAGCCATATTCTGAACAGACAATTCCCAGCTCATTTTGAATTATTTTTGTGCTTGCTGAAAGAAGAGAATCAAACCACAAACACACAGTCTATCTTGGAGTTTCTCTTCAAAAAATATCAGTTAATTAAGAAATAATCCTGAGAAAGCAGCAGCATTGTTGTTCAGGTGTCACCCAGAGCACGTGGCAGTGGGGGAATCACGGGGTGATCACAGGAGGGATGTGGAGTGTGGGGCGTTCTGAGGCCTGAACCCAAAAAGGATCCCAGGGTGTGAATCCCCTGGTGTGTGTTTGGGATGTGTTTTGTGTCAGGTTGTCATCACAGTCAGGCAGCACTGAGGGGTGGGTGGCTCAGAAAGGTGGCCAAGGCAGCAGAGCTACGTGGTGTCACTGCAGTTTGTGACTGTGCCTGTGCACAGATAAAGGGGGAGGAATCTCAGTCAGAGACTCCCAGACAAACCCAGGCTATATTTTTCCATCAGGGCTATATTTGCCTGAAAAAACAGAAGTGGAAATGACACAAAGTAGATCCCCCAAATCAGCATCTGCCATTCTGTTTGTGTCTGTAAGCAGAGGTGTGAACTGCAAACCAAAGCAGCTTTTCCACCTCCACAGCTGGAGAGGGCAAAGAGCAAACACCCAGGTGACACTGGGGGAAAGCACACAACAGACTGAACGAGCCCAGGAATATAAATCCAAGTTGCAGAACAGATCAGGTTTCAAGAAGTGTCTAAATAAAGCATCTAAATTGGCTCTTCAAAGCTGTAGTTTTCCTACGCAGAACTATTCTGGAAACTGCAACTATCTTGGACTCTGGGGGTGTGGAAGAAATATAAATTCATTCTGTGAGGTTCATGTCCTTCTCTTCCCTCCCTCAGCACTTCCCTAAATCCTCGCCCGTACCAGTGACTACAACTAGTCTTTTTACTGACCTTGGAGTAGGAAGTGTTGCCTCATTTCTCTCCCACTTTGAAATGTGAACCTTTCTCTTGGATGCCACAGCCTTTCTCAGACTGGCATCCTCCCAGCCCCTCCTGGCTGGCAGGTCCCTGTGCTGCTCCCTCCCTTTGTCACCCTCTCTCTGAGGGCTGACCTGGCCCTGCTCACTCCCCTCTGTAAGGCCACTGCCACTTGCTCTCCCTGCAGGTCCCCCAGGTCTTTTGTTCTCGTGAGAATGAGTAGAATGAGGTAGATTTAGTGAGGGTTTAATGAGCTCTTTCCCATTATACCTTAATGTGGTGTAACTGGACTCGTGCTGTGTGTCCCACCTCCTGTCTCCTGCTCCCTCTGTACAGTTTGGCTGCTGCTTCACACGGGTTCTGGTGACAGCAGGGCCACTAATCCAGGCCAGAACATCCCCTGTGAATGATTTCAGCAGCAGTTCAGCAATGGGAACTCACCCTAAGGTCATGTAGGGGCCTGGTCAGGATGCTGGGATCGCTCCCATAAAAAGGAGCGGGTGGGTTGGGAATCCCCCTGAGCAGGAATGGTCTCAGCAGAGTTGCTGCAAGTCATAGAATCACAGAATATGTTGAGTTGGAAGGGACCCATCAGGGTCATTGAGCCCAACACATTTATATGGAAGCACAGAGTCATTTAGGTTGGAAAACCCCTCCAAGATCATCGAGTCCAGCTGTTGCCCCAGCACTGCCAAGGCCACCACTAACCCTTGTCCCCAAGTGCCACATCCACAAGTCTTTTAGATCCCCCCAGGGATGGGGACTCCACCACTTCTATCTCAGGCTGTTCAGAGACATTTGTGGATTTGTGGTAGGTGCAATATCAGGTTATATACTCGAGCCATATACATATATATCTAGATATATTTATATAAGAGCAGCAGCAGGACTGGCAGCAGTGGCTCTGACCCTCCTCAGGTTATATATTTGTGCCATTTACATACATACATATATACATATATATGACAGAATATACTGAGTGGGAAGGGACCCACAAGGATCAGTGAGTCCAGCTCCTGGCCCTGCACAGGCCCATCCCCAAGGGTCACACCCTGTGCCCCAGAGGATCATCCAAACCCTCCTGGAGCTCTGGCAGCCTTGGGGCTGTGCCCACTGCCCTGGGGAGCCTGGTCAGTGCCAACCACCCTCTGGGGGAAGAACCTTTTGCTGAGATCCAACCTGACCCTGCTCTGACACAGCTCCAGACCATTCCCTGGGTGCTGTCCCTGGTCCCCCCAGAGCAGAGCTCAGTCCCTGCCCCTGCTCTGCCCCTCCCCAGGGAGCTGGAACTGCCATGAGCTCTGCCCTCAGTCTCCTCTTCTCCAGCTGAACACCCCAAGTGCCCTCAGCAGCAACAGGGCTGGCAGTGGTGGCTCTGACACCCCTCAGGTTCTATACTGGAGCCATGGCTGTACCCAGCTATACACCCATGTACACGAGGGCACAGCTCTGTGTCTGACCCCCCCTGTGCCCCCAGCCGACGTGGCCAGGTCCATGGGGGCCAAGGTGGTGATCGCCATCGACGTGGGCAGCCGCGACGAGACCGACCTGACCAACTACGGCGACTGCCTGTCCGGGTGGTGGCTGCTCTGGAAGAGGTGGAACCCACTGGCTGAGAAAGTCAAGGTACCGTGGAAGCTTCCCCTTGTTCCTTCAGGGTGACTGACTGTCATCTCTTTGGGTTTGGGCTCTCCTTCGTGGGTGAGGAGAGCCGGGCAGTGACACCAAAGGGAAGGCAGTGGTGTGGGAAGGGGCTGGGAGAACTGTTAGAGCAAAGAGCCCTGTCCTTAGAGGTGCATTAGTTATGATAAAATGAGAATTTATTAATTTTATCGATAAAAGTAGTAAATTTCTCCAGTTCAGTGTTTCTATCCTGTGTGTCTCTGAACTGCTTATTTTAGCAGTAGGCAGTAATTAAGTACAGCTGATAAATGTGGGGCTGCAGAGCATGATTTTATCATTATTATGTATCTCTTGTTGCATGTGGTTAGGCCAACTCTGTGCCTTATTCTGCATTTCCTAAATTACCTGGCTCAGCAGCTTCCCCCAAGTGAATACTGTCTTCTCTTCTTCCCTCCCAACTGCATTCCACAGTTGGAACTAGAACTAAAGTACTTGCTTGTGCTTCCCAAAGTTGGAGAAAATACTGCAAACTGTGGGTACTTCTCTGCAATCTGAAGTTTTCCTCTGTGATAACTCACTTCCCTGAGAAGGTTTGGTCTCCCTGAGGGAGCTGGTGTGGGTGTGCAGTGCCCTGGGCCTTGGCAGAGGTGACCCTGCTACTCCCAGTGTGTAATGGGAGTGTTTGGTGGTGGAAAATGGAAGGCCCTGACCCTTCTCAGTAGAACCCAGTGAAACATTCCAACTGCCCAAATGGCACCCATAGAAATATGGGATTCCTTCTGAACACCAGAAAACACTTCTTACTGGTAGTGGCGAAACACTGACCAACCAGAGAAATTGGGGATAGTCAAAACTCAGCTGGACATGGTTTTGGACACCCTGCCCCAGCTGCTCCTGCCTGAGCAGGAGGATTGGACTGGATCGTCCCTGTTCACCTCAGCCATTCTGCAAAACCTCTGCCCTGGCACTGGAGGGGTCAGAGAATCATGGAATCACAGAATGGTTTGGGTTGGAAGGGACCTTAAAGATCATCTTGTTCCACCCCCTGCCATGGGCAGGGACACCTTCCACCAGCCCAGGTTGATCCAACCTGGCCTTGGACACTTCTAGGGCTGGGGCATCACTGATTTCTGCCTTGAAGCATCACTGTGCCCCTCTCACCCCAGCACAGATCTCCCTCTCGAGCTGCCCCTGTACCCTGGAATGAAAGACTCAGTTCAGCCTTGAACTGCAGCAATTCTGAAGGCCATTCTCTCTGTGCTGTTGATAGTGGAGACTCACTGTGTGCCTGCCCACCCTGCCCGGGGAACAGATGGCGGTGCTGATGTGTGAAGGCCTCGCAGTGATAACCCGCTCGTTCTCCGCTGGGAGCACAGGCCATAGTCCTCAGTTCCTCACGGCTGGTGTGTCTGGTGTGCAGGTGCTGAACATGGCCGAGATCCAGACGCGCCTGGCGTACGTGTGCTGCGTGAGGCAGCTGGAGATGGTGAAGAACAGCGACTACTGCGAGTACATCCGGCCCCCCATCGACCGCTACGGCACCCTGGACTTCGGCAAGTTCGACGAGATCTGTGTGAGTGCCCCCTGCCCCTGCTCCACACGGACCTGCCGGCTCCTGCTGCTAATTACTGCCAGGGCTGGGGGAGAGTAGTTGGCACAGAGTGAATAATTGACACCGAATAATGCTGTGGAATGATATCCCGGCCGGGAGATTGGATTAGCGGCACAAATTGAGTTTGCGGTCTCGGTTATGTAATGACCTGTGAAGGGATCAGTTGCCTCGCTCTGTTCCGTGGCAATTCCTGCTCAGCTGCTCGGGGAAAAGCTCTTGGGTGTCTGAACTTGGGGTTTTCTGAGCTGCTCTGGGCTCGTGGGGTTTGTCTCCCCTTGTTGTTGCGCGAAGGATTCACAGAAGCCTCTTGGGGAGGCCATGAATCCCAGAAATTGGGGGAAGTGTGAAAATACCTGGCTCTGTTAAACATTTCAACACTTCTGCTAATAAAACATCATCCACAATTCCTCTGCACCCGACAGAGGGTCAGGAGATGGCACCAATGTCAGTAATTGTTGTGAAAAAGGTGCCACCAGGTCGTGCAGCACCAGGATGGGGTTGTGTTTGTTTGTCAGAACCCAGCGTGGGCAGAGCTGACTCCAGGTGTGCAGGGAATTGTCTTGGTGACAGAATCCAGCAATCCCAACAGAAATGTCCCTGCCCAGGTGGAAGCAGCGATTCTGGCTCTGTGTGGAAGGGATTTTACTGTCTCTTCCCATTCTTTGCCTGCTTTAACCATGCAGGCATCTTCCACCTCCAGGTGTATCTGCAGAGCTTTGCTCTTCTCCCAGGCTGGAAACCCACCACTTCTTCTTTAAGTCAGTCTCCTTTATAGCTTAGTGAGAAGCTGGGATGTTCCTTAGGCTGCAGATTGATTTTTCTGGCTTATAAACACTGATCAAACCCAGGAACACAGTTTAGCCCTGCAGACTCACATTTGGGAGAGTCCTTAGGACACACAGCAGCTGTTCCAAACCACCAGCTGATTTCCCCACTACAAATATTTTCTCTAGGCTATTTGATGTCTCTTGGCTCCTGGGCAAACACTGCTGGCTGCCAATGGCTCTAAGACTTTGCTGATAAATAATGTTCTTTGCTCTGGAGTGCCCTGGCTGATCTGAAAACCCTGACAGACAGGTCTGGTAGTTCATCACAGTAACACATTGTGAGCTGTCACATCCCTGTTCTGTCTAATGTGGTGGTGTTAAAGAGATGTAAAGACACCAGGCAAATGTAGTCAGTGGAATAAAACTTGAAAAAGTGCAGTAACTCAAATATGTCACTGTCTGTGAGCCAGTTCTTGGCACCAGACACCACAGGGGTGGAGAGGCAGCACCCTCCTGGCTCCTGGAGCTAAATAACTTCTGTCCACAAGGGAACTTTAAACTGTGCTGACCTTAAAGGAAGGGGCAATCCAGACATTCCTTCATCCTTATGGGCTGGGAAGTAGGGGGAGTTTTAATTTCAGTCTTGTGCCTGGATTTTACAGAAAACAGAAATAGGACCATGGTTTAGTTCCAAGGAACTAAATCCCCTTTTCTTGTCAAACCCCTCTCCTGTGTCAGCCCCAAACTCAGCTTCTCGTGGTTATTTTGGATCAGGCTGACCCAGAGCTGTCAGGTCCTTCTTCTCCTGAGTAATCACACCCACTCTGGGCTGGGAAACTGGGATGGATTACAGGAGGTGAATTCCACCCTGAGTGCCACTCATGCTTTGAACCCTCATCCAAAAACCAGAGGAGAGACAACACCAACTCAGCCAGGGCTGCTTCCCACACTCAGAGCTGCCACACAAGGGTCAGTGCTGCTGCCAGGAGTTGGGATCCAGGGCTCCCAAAAGCTGTTGCTCTGTCCTTTCCATTTGATTTTTCAACACCATTTCTGCTGCTTTTTGAGAAAAAGAGTAAAACTTGCAGTGTTGGGTCTATTTCTTCCAGTTGTTTCCCTGCTAATGGCAGTGCCATGTTATTATTCCAAGCACAAATTACTTTATACTTTTACACGAGAGGAACGTGGAGAGTGTGGGTTTGGTGGTGTCCACCTGCCATCCTTTCTGCTCCAGCAAACTGCTCCAGCATGTTCAGTGCTGTCTGGCTTAACTTATTTCAAGAGATTTTGGAACCAGGGCTCTATGGGAGCTTTTCTTTGCAGGGAAATTTTTTTTTCCTTGGCTCTTCTTGAGCCAAGAGGCAAGAAGACACATGTATATGAGTTGTTACCTTCTTCCAAAGAAAGAGCCAGGACTGGAAGGGCATATTCAGTATCCTAAGCTCCTCTTTCTGTGGCATTATTCAGTGCTGTCAAAATAGTGCATCAGGTGGCACTTTTCCCTGGATACTGAAGTTGGTGTTTGGACTTAAAATAGAACCTTGTTTCCTTCATTATTCCCCCAGTTTTAGGCTGGAGAGTTTATGTAGCTGAGGCTGGAAGGCAGCAGAAGTCATCCTGGCTTTGGGCTAGAGCTCTGGATTCCCTACTATTTGCACATGATAACATATATAGATTTTTTTTTTTAGTTATTAATTACTTTTTCTCTGTTGACTCTTTCTTTTTTCCAGGAAGTGGGATATCAGCATGGGAAAACTGTATTTAATGTCTGGTGCAGGAGTGGAGTCCTTGACAAGATGCTAAAGGACAGGCAAGAGATCTGCAAGTCCAAAACTGATGTAAGTGCTCAGTGAAAGGCACTATTCTGCAAGAGCTGCTTGACTGTTCTTCACTAGTCCTGCAAGGAACTGCTCAGGGCTGGGAGAGGGAATGGTGACTGCCCTGAGTCCTCTCTGTGAGCTCACAGCTATCAGTGAAAGCTGTATTTTGGGCAAGCAGGGGTGGGGTCAGTTCTTCAGAAATGTCTTTCCTTGAATCACACCCTGGCTGAACAAGGTCCTGCACTTCTCTGACCATCAGTACCAGTTTGGCCAAGGTGTGTTCTGCCAGAGCCTGAGCCCTGACACTGCCTGTCCATCCTGATTCCTGAAGTGTGCCCATGCAGAGACCCATCCATGTCCTCAGGTGGGGGCTCTGAAAGCCCCAGAGGTGCTGCAGTGCTCTGAAGAGCAGCTCTCCTGTTGCTGTCTTGTTCTAACAGGTCCTTGATATCATGTTTGTAACCTGGAATTGGTCATACATGTCCTTGAAGTGATCCTCAGTGATCCTCGTGGGTCCCTTCCAGCTCAGGGTATTCCATGGTTCTGTGGGGGGAGGCAGGATTTCACCAGGAACCTGCATTTTCCAAGGCACATAACTGAGGTTTCTGTGTTTCAATGCCCACCATTCCCTTCTCCTTCCCCCTGTGCATCAGCAGCCGTGAGGGCACCAAGAGCTGCTGGCTGAGCTGCTCCTGGAGCAGAGGCTGTGCCTGTGCCCTGCAGCTCCCAGGAGATGGCCTGTGGGTTCAGGTGAGGGCCACACTGGTACCCATGTGCATCTGGACTCCCTCCCTGAGCAACACTGGGCAGCCACAAGTAACCTTCTGAAAGTTATTTTTCATTTATTCTTGTGCCACAAGCTTGAGGTGGTACCTGGATATTGTTCTTGCTACTAAAAACTTGTGTGCCAGGGATGTGTCTCTCTCCCAGAGGATGTGAATCAGGATGGCTGGCATTGATCTCAGCCACTGCTGGCTTTCAGGATGTGACTCAAATAATTCTCGGGTGCTTTCAGAAAACTTGATTTAAACCCTCGCTGGAGATGTGTTTTTAGCCAAGAGTTAAAATCCCTGCAGGGATGCAGCTTTCTTGATTTGTTGCTTTTCTTCCTCACTGCTCTGCTCCAAAGGCATTTTGTGGAGCCTTCACTGAGGCTCCAGGAGGTCTGTGGAGCTGTGGAGGTCCCGGGTGTCACACACCTCGTCCTGCCCAGTCCGACTCTTCCCAGCAGTTACTGTAAATTCCTGGTGATGGTAAATCTACAGGCTGTGTGGTGTTGCTGTGTGGTTATAGATATCTGTTCACAAGTAGATAAAAATCTCTTGGTTTAATGCTTAAGGGCTGAGCTCAGCCTCTGGAGTTGGTTCATAGCAGCCTGACTGGGCTGGGGAAGTTCCAGTTGCTTTTAAGAAACAGTTATCACGTTTTTGAGGAATCGGGTAGTATATTATAATACATGGGCTCACTATCCTTCCCCTCCTTTGAATCCCTCTGATTTGAAACCCAAGTGCTACAAAGACTTCATGTTTTACCCAGTAATTCTTCTTTATTGTCTTTTAGAGAGAGAGAGGGAAGCGAGCAGTAATATTTTAAGTGATGGCCCAAATGAATCATAACTGTAGGGAGCCTCTCTGGGAAAAGTCAGTTGAGGTGAACAGTGACAGAGAGGATTTGCAGCTCTCCAGAGGTGGGTGGTAGAGCACTTTGGCTCGGAGGGAGGTGTGAGAGGAAGGGCAGGGGTGGACATGGGCCCAGAGCTGGGGGGGGCTGATGCCCACAGTGGTGCCCTCAGAGCCCCGTGTGCCAGCAGAGGGGAGAGCTGGGGCTGTGAGTCACTGAGGGAATGGAAATGGAAATGCTGGGAGGAGATGAAAGGTGCCCTCAGCTCTGGTCATGTGAGGGGACTTGCACTGGTGACTTCCCAGCATCAGATGAATCCTGCCCGAGCTGCCTGGCAGGGTGAGCAGCTCTGGGAGGAGCACTCAGGGACAGTTTGGGGAATGTAGCCGGTGATCCACGTAGCCTGAGGAGCCCCAAAACTCCTCAGCTTGTCATTTCTTGCTGGGAAGATGAATACCATTCCCAAACCAGGACAGAAGATAACCTGGGTGAGGAGGTGCATTCATGTGAGCTGCAGGAGATAGGCCCCCAGTCTGCCTCTGACACCTCATGATCAGATGGGATGGGCTGGTGTTGGGTTTGTGTGTTAATTAAGGAGAAGTCAAGGCAGGGAAAATTGTGTGTGTCTCAGAAATAGCTGTGTCCTACTTCAGCCTCACTTTTATCACAATTAGTAACAAGCTCAAACATATTCATTGCTGTAACAAACGCTTCTTGAAAAGAAGACTGCTTTTAAAATTGCCCTTTAGATGGGATACAGTAATTGAGGGGAATATTTCAGCTGAATCGTGGTGTCAGAGCTGTGCAGGCAGCAGCAGGTTGAACATTTAGCACATCTACCCTGGTTTTTGTGGCACTTCACTACCCTGGAGATCAGATATGTCACCTCCTCGGTGCAGACACAGCCTGTCACTGCACTTGATAATGAGGCAGCAAGTGCTGAGAAGCTGAGTATGGAAATAACAGGGCCAGGAGAGTGACTCACAAACCCCCCGGGTCATGGGGCAGGAGCTGGGACTCCAGTCCAGGCTGTGCTCCAGGGACCTGAGGGATCATCTGCTTGTCCTCAAAGTCCAGTAAAAACCAAGACTTTTTTTCATCTGACTTTTATTCCGGTAGATTTATTTCTACAAAGTAACAAGTATTGCAGCTCCCACTGGGGTGTTTGTCTTGCTTTTCTTAGTCCATTAGAGTCACTTAAGCCCTTTAGCTCTGTTATCTTCCAGGGATAACAGCTGATATTTTTAACTTGCCTTTGATTAGTGAAGGTTTTGATGCTTTATGTGTTTTAGCTCTTCATCTATTTCTGGAGTGTTCAGCATCTGAGAGCCAAGTGCCATTTCTTACCGTCTTGTTTCCGTGTCGTGAGCATCGAATTTTTAGTTAAAAATCCAGATATTTAATCATTTAGATACTTCTCCTTTGCTTTGATCATTCAGCCCCTGTTTATCTTGTCTCCAAAATGCAAATACTGAAGACATAAACAACAGGAACCTTATATAAACCTCACTTTGAGCAGCTCTTACTCTTCCCCAGCACAGAATATTGCAATGCCATTAATTGGATCTCCTTGGGGAAGTTTTGTCTACTGAGGTGTTATTCATAGTCAAAGCTAAATATAATCCAGCGGACTACAATAGTAACTGTCTTTCTCCTCTAATTTATTTCCTAAAGATTGAGCCAAAAAGCATACTTTCCTCCTTGGAAAAAAAGAAATATCAGAAAAGTTTGGGAGTAGAGTAGATTTCAGGTGGATCTGAGACACTTCTTTGCTTTGTGCTATCTGATGGGAGAGTGGGTTTGTCCTTCAAAAGTAGTGAGAGGAAGCACTTAAAAATTACATTCCTGTTTGTAAAGCATCAGACGAGTGTGGGAAGACACCTGGTTCCCACAAGTGGTTTTCCAGTCCTAGTGCTGAGGTTTGGGTGCAGCTGCCTCCCCAAGTGCCCTCTAACAGGCCGACCTTGGGACCATCTGTGGGTCAGTGACAGGGACAGATGCTCCCGTGGGTTTGGCCACACTTCATTCCTGTCAGTCCTCACCTCAGGAGCTACTGGTGGTTTTACTGAGGCACCTTTTGGTGATGTTCCTACAGGATTTTGTTCAGCTGTTCATAACGTGCCCTGGACTTTTGTCCCATCCAGAGCCAGTCCCTGTCTGCTCCCTGCTCCCAGGGACACACTGCCCAAGTGCTCTGTGCAACCACCTTGTCCCCTTGGATCTGAGAGTCCAGGGATGGCCTCGGACATCGCTGGGTCTGTGTGGTGGCCAGAGAGTGCCCCTGTCCCTCACTCACAGAATCATTTAGTCATATGGCACAGACTGAAGATGTAGGAGCTTTTCTCCCCTGTCCTGGGAAAGAGCCTTCTGCAAATGCTTCCCTGGGACCATTCAGGTTGGATGTTCAAAATGAGCCTGGGCTGACTCACCTTCCTGGCGGTTCCTTAACGGTCACACTGAGCTCCCCAACCTCTGTGTTTGGAAGTGTGTGTCCTAAGCTGCTGCTGTTCCATTTCATGCAGGTACCTTTTCATTCCCTGTGGGCTTTTCTCTGCCCACCGTTGCCCACCAGCTGTTTGTCCTGCATCCACACAGTGCTGGAGCTGCTCTAAATTACATCAAAAGTCAGTCACAGATGAAAGGTCAACTGAGAGAGCTCTGCTGCAGCAGTAATGGGCTGCTGCTGTGACCCCACAGGGGTTGTATGATTCACAGGATTCGTGCTCTTGCCAGAAGAGCAAAGAATTGTTCATAAAACCCTGTGTTAGAAAACTGCCCTTCCTGGAAGCACGTGGGCAGGTCTGGGTGTTTGGAAGGATGACAGCCACAGCAATTCCCAGTGCCAGTAACGTTCCCTCTGCCAGCTCTTCCCCATCCCTTTCCTCTGGGGTAGGGGCTGATGTACTTATTATAATCACTGGGTTTAAAGAAAGGGGAGAGGTGTTCAGGTGTCCACTGGTGACCTTGTGCCTGGTCCCGAGGAGCAGGTGGGGCCACTCATGGCATACAGGAAAAACAAAACAGTTCTTAAATTCCAGAGTTCCTCTCAGAGGAGAGACTGGAGCAGGGACTTCTCAAAATAGAGAACGCTCTGCCCACTGCTTGGGTGAGACAGAGTGAAAACAGAAAGGGTTTATTGGAAAGAGGAATTACAGTGGGAAATGTGTCTCTCTGCATGTACCTCAGGCTCTTGCTGCAGCACCTCCAGCTCTGTGGCTTATGGGGTCCCCAGGGGGGTCCTGGTGACCCCAGTGCCCAGCTGTCCCTGCAGCCTTCGTGGCACCACTCCAGCTGAGGGCTGGACCATGTGTGTGTCCCACCTGGGCACTGGGGCTCCTTCTCCCAAGGGAAAGCAAAACCTCCCTGGGGGATGCACTTGGCCCAGACAGTCCTTATAAAGTGACAGTGATGGAGGACAAACAAGTGACGTGAACATCATCTGTCCTGGGCCCAGACCCTCTGGTTCTTGTCTCTGGGGTCTTTTCTACAGTTTGCTAAATTTTTAATGAGGCCTCTGGTTGCATGGGTGGAATAGGAGCCATTAGAGTGTGTCCCACCGTTGGCACTTGGGAATCCCATCTCCGCCACCAGACCTGCACAGGAGAGCTGTTCTGAGGATTTCTCACTGATGAGTAATGGTTTTTGAGGGGGCAGTTGTGGAGAATTTATGTGTCTGGAGCTTTGTCTGTTCAATATCATTTTTATACAGTCCTGACTTGTTTGGATTTTGCTGTGTATCTTTGTTAACACACCCAAAACTTCGCTGTGTGTTTCAGAACGTGACCTGTCCCACCACCTCCTTCACGGACCTGGCAGAGATCGTGTCCCGGATCGAGCCCGTGAAGGCCCCTGTGGCAGACGGTGAGTGGGGGGATCTGCTGGTGCTGTGGAGGTGTTGGGAAGGGCAGGGAGGAGGGATGGACGGCTGCTGACTCCTCCTGTGCCTCCTGACTGCTTTCACCTGCTCATACTCTGAGCTGGGACAGCTCAGGGCTGGCTGCCAGTGCCAGTGTCTGCTGGGCACTGCTGGCCGTGGTGGGCTGGCCCTGCTGGGCACTGCTGGCCATGGTGGGCTGGCCCTGCTGGGCACTGCTGGCCATGGTGGGCTGGCCCTCCTTCCCTCAGAGCCCCTCCTGCAGCTGTGCCCAGGCCAGACCCTCCGTGTCCCCCTCCCACTGCCTCCCCTGGGAGAGGCCAGCAGTGAGATGTCCTTCCATGGGAAGATATCAGCTGTCATCCCATTACTGGTGTGCTCCAGCCTGGTTTCCTGGTGGGAGTAATCCCTGCTCAGGTCTCATCTGAGTGAAATAACGTGTAGCAACTCATGCAGAGATGGGTTTATGTCCCCCTTGGGCTGGGCCTGTCCTTGCTGTGGCTTCGCCCTTCGGTCTGTGCCCTCTGGAGGTGGGAGGAGGCTGAGTTAAAGCTCTGCCTGGGTTAAAGCTCTGCCTGGGTTAAAGCTCTGCCTGGGTTAAAGCTCTGCCTTAGTTAAAGCTCTGCCTGGGTTAAAGCTCTGCCTGGGTTAAAGCTCTGCCTGGGTTAAAGCTCTGCCTGGGTTAAAGCTCTGCCTGGGTTAAAGCTCTGCCTGAGTTAAAGCTCTGCCTGAGTTAAAGCTCTGCCTGGGTTAAAGCTCTGCCTGGGTTAAAGCTCTGCCTGGGTTAAAGCTCTTCCCAAAGGATGTTTTCCTTGCTGTCGTGAGTAGGATCAGGAGTGACTCACTGGCTCCATTGCTTTTTGTGTGCTCCTGTTCTGGGAGCACCAGTGAACTAATGAGGAGCAGGTAACAGCTCCTGCACCAGACAGTGCCCTGTGACAGCCCTGCCCTGCAGAGCAGCTCCATGTTTATGCCATAACTGGAGCTCCTGTAACCAAAAGGAGCAGAGCTTTGCAGGCCTGAAACGCCTGAGTGTGTCACCAGGGCTGGAGCTCTTTCTGAACAGTCTCTTCCCCTCCTCCTGATTCTCATTCCTGCAGAGGGAAAGCTAAAGTTAGCAGTGCTCCCATCTGTGACTGTTTGTAGAGATGTCCCTGTGGTAATTTGAAATGCTAATTACAATCATATGCCTTATGAAGAAAATATTAATCAAATGTGGTTGAAGCAGACATTGTGAATAAGAGTGAAGAGATCATGGAATGTGGTTATTTAAGGCTCAGGCACTGAGACCTGCTAAGATTTAACCAGTGCACTGGGACAGATCCTCCTGCTTTAGATAGTTCCTGATTATTCCCCACATTAGGACATCCTGCTTTCTGCTGGGCGAGGCCATGGACACGAGGGGAGCAAAGGGATGTGTCTCAGGAAGCAGATGGGGCACATTTTGGGCTGAGGAGGGGCTGTGCAGGGGCTGCCAGGGACAGGGTGGGATGGGCAGGTGCCACATGTTCCTCGTGGGTGCTGAAATCAGTTGGCTGTGGAGAGTCCAGAGGAGGGAGAGGGCGGCAGGAGAGTTGTTCATGTGGGCACTGTGTCATCAAGGATCCTTTGTGTCACGCTGTGGGTGACTCACGATTTTGGGCGGCAGAGGCTGTAGTGACATTCCCCTGAGCACACAGTGCCTCCAGGATGGCATTGCTTTGCTCAGGAGGTCCCTGGAGCCACGGGGGAAGCAGATGGAGGGTGACACCTCCCTGGCAGTGGCCTCGTGGCTGTCAGGTGTGTGCTGGTCAGCCTTTGGTCTGCTCAGGGGGGTGCTGGGGAAGGTGGTCTGACAGTTTGTGGCCCACGTGGGTGAGGGGACAGGGGGCTGTGAAACTGCACTGTCAGAGCAGGGCAAAGCTTTGTTCCCCTTGGAAATCCCTTCCTGAGGGCAGTCTCAGACCACAGGCTCTGCCTGTTCTGACAGCACACTGCAGGTGTTAGGCTGGGTGGAGGAATTGTGTCAATAATTTGTTCTAAAGAAATCAAAGAGAAAGGCTCATGTTCTGATGGACAGGGCAGGGTCAGCACAGAGGGTGAGAGGCCTGGAGGGGCAAGGGTGTTGTATTTGGGGGAAAAGGGCAGTGGAATTTCTTCTCCACTCTTGAACAAACTGAGAGCAATAACTAAAACCATCTAAAAATTAAAAAGGGGAGCCTGTCCCTCAGGCAGGGCTGAGCAGAGGGACCCAAGTACCCGACAGCCAGGGCACAGCTGTCTGTAAGCACAACAGAGGCTCCTTTCACAGCTGAGCCACTGCAGTGTTTGTGCCCCTGTTCCTGTTCTCCATCCACACGCTCCCCCAGCTGGGATCGTCCCTCTGCTCAGCTCTAATTGTGTTTCTCACAGCCCTGGTTGTGGCCAGGGGAGCACAGGTGCCATCCCCAAGGGTGGGTCTGTCACATCCCTGGTCACATTCCCCCCTGGGAGGGGTTGCTGAGGCCCAGGGTTGGCTGAAGGACATCAAGCACTTGTAGCAATGGGCGTTTGGGGAAAAGGATTTATGAAAGAGAAGTGTTAATGGTGATGTCAAATGCCTGGGTTTGCAATATGGTTGAAGCAGGAGACATCCCAAAACCTCTGCAGGGACACAGTTATCAGGCACTAGTGCCCCTGAGGCTGTGCTGAGCTCCCAGGTTCCTGATTTACATCCAGGGTTTACAGAGCCCCTCCAGCCACACAGCCCCGTTTGCCTTCAGGTTGGGGGTTGCCTGCAGAAATTAGGCCCATATAAAAGAAATGCCACCAGCTACAGAAGCACAAAGCAGCTCTCTGGGTGTGGAAACGTGCCCTTCCTGCAGGGAATATGCTCCCCCTGCTCAGGGCAGGCTCAGGTACCTTTCCATGGTGGAACCTCCTCTTGGCTGGCTCGGTTTTGAGCTGTTTGGGTGTTGGTGAATTGAGCAGAGCAGCAAGGCCTCAGTCCTGCTTGATGCTTCTGGGAGTTTTTGTAGTGCCCAGGAGTGGTCACTGTGAGCCTCAGCCTCAAGCAGGGCCATGGAAGGTGATGTCTGGGGACAGCAGGGCCATCTCCTGTGCTCCTTTCCCCCCTCCAGCACCCAGAGGTGCTTTGTGAAGGATGTGAGACGGGACACCCCTCTCTTGGATTTCATATCTGTAGAAAGACCCGTTAAATGCTGAGCAGTGCTGGGGAAATCAAGGAGTCTGGTTTGATGGCAGTCGGATTTATCGGAGGCGTAAACTCCAAACTCTTGTTTGTTGTGTCTGTTGCTGTTCACACCAGCTTCTCTGGGGTGTTTTATCAAAGATTATCATTAGTGGTTTTCACAGAAACTAACAATGATTCTCTGATCCACAGTAAAAGAAGCATTAAAAATAAAATACAAAAGACCAAATGCCTTTAATCCCAATGTTCTAGCAGTTGGTTGTAGTTACCATGTTGGGAGAAAAGGCTGTGGAACAGACTGTGCTGTTGTCTTCAGCGTGGAGCAGATGCTATTGACAGCTCCCTGGAGAAAGACTTAATCAAGGATCCAGTTTAAACATGAGCCACTTTCCTCACCAGTGGGCCGAAACCCAGGTATTGCTTCAGCAGCTCAGAGCACACTGGAATTAACTGAGGAAAGGGGTGGAAGCACTGGTGTCACACAGTGATTTCAGTGCTAACGTTAAAATGTCATTTCCATGCCTTGACTTGCATTCTGAAGAACTGGGGGCCAGAGGAGGAAGGTGCTGCCTGCCAGGGGTTCTACCCCGCTGCCCACATGTCTCCTGGTGTCACCTGTGGTGGGACAGGCTCTGCAGGGGCTGCTGGTGTGTTGGGGGGTGAACTTGGAGCCACCGATGGGCCCCAGCCCAGCACGTTCACTGAGTGTTGAGTTGCTGTGGGGAGTCAGCCCTGCCAGCAGGGAGAGTCACAGAACCACAGCCTGGTTTGGGCTGGGAGGGACCTTAAAGCTCATCTCACTCCCACCCCCTGCCAGGGCAGGGACACCTCCCACTAGCCCAGGTTGCTCCAACCTGGCCTTGGACACTTCCAGGGATGGAGCAGCCACAGCTTCTCTGAGCAACCTGTGCCAGGGCCTCCCCACCCTCACAGGGAAGAATTCCTTCCCAATATCCCATCTAACCCTGCCCTCCTTCATCTTAAGGCCATTCTCCCTTGTCCTGTCACTCCATGCCCTTGTGGGGTACTGCTCCTGCTGCCTGTTTTACAGACCCTCCTGGTGACCTCCAGGTGCTGGGAGAGGCATTGACTCTGCCCTGATGTGTCTCCTTCCTTGGAAGTGGCTTGGTGGTGTGTCCTGCTGCTGTGCACAGCTCCTGAGCTTCCCTAAGTTACGTGAATCTGCTGGAGGAAGGGAGTGTAAATGTTACTGTCCCCTGTGGGATTGTGAAATTGTGACTGTGACAGACACGTAATTATTCTGCCCCAGGAATTCTGCAGCACGTAATTATTCTGCTCCCCCTGTGCCTGGGACCCCTGCTTGCAGCCAGTGTGTGTCCAGGGGAGCTTGGACTGGCAGCTCAAAGGCTTCTGAAGGTGTTGCCAGGTCTGGTTGGACTGAGGGGTGGGACACAGCAGCTGAGCTGTGAGGGGCACTCAGCAGGGAGCACCTCCCCACTGCCCGTGCTTGTGTCCCTCGGGCCGGGCAGCCAGTGCCCACCAGAGTGACATGGACCAGGTGCTGCTCTTGCTGGGGGTCCCTTGGATTCTGGGGGGCTCTGGGACACCAATTCACACAGAGGACATGGTTTATTTTTGTGGCTGGAGAGCTGAACTCTGTGTTTGAGCAGTCCCAGTTCACTGAGCTGCCAGTTTTCTGGCACACACCTGCCCCGGTGCTCAGGGGAGGCAAGGGTTCCTCTCCCAGTTTTCTCTGCCTGCCAGTTAAACCCAGTTCTTTTTCTCTCCTCTCTCTTTAGACGAGTCAGACTACCAGACTGAGTACGAGGAAGAAATCCTGGACAACCAGAAGGATGATTATCTGGATTTCATAAGCAACCAGGCTGAAGAAGACTCTGACTCGGTACGAACTGCCCTGGAAACAGGGAGTGCCTGGTCACTGCTGAGCCCTGGGTGAACAGTGTGAGGTGGAGGTGTTGGGAAGGATGCTGAGAGAAGCACCTGGGAGGGACTGGCTGGCAGGACTGTGCAGAAATGAGTTTGCTTGTTGTTAGTACAGACACTGAGTGGCACTTCCTCACCCTGCTCGGGTCAGTGGTGCCACTGTGGTGCTGCCTGTGGCAAAACCTGCCCACGGTTAAATCCTGGCCCTGCAGCTCTGTGGGTTTGCTCTTGAGGTGAGTCAGGGTTGGAGAGGCTGAGGGAGCTGCTTCCTGCAGCTGGGAAAGAGGAGCTGAAGGGAGGATCTGCCAGCTGTCTGGAGCTGCCTGAGGGTGGGTATGGAGGAGGTCATGGAAGAAGAGATGCCCAGCAAAAAACCAAGAGGTGACAGGCACAACCTGTGCTAAAGGAAACCCTCCCTGGCTTTGGGAAATCCTGCCCTGTACACACAGCTGAGACCCACCAAGGACTGTGCAGGGAGAAGGTGGAAAACCCATCCTTGTAGATGCATGAAAAGCAAATTGATGCCCTGAAGAACCCTGGCAGCACCAGAGTGAGCCCTACTTAGAGCAGACAGGTGGATTGTACCCTCCAGGGGTCCCTTCCAGCCACTGTGGTTTGATTCTGTGGGACAGCAGGTCCATCCCAAGGCAAACCTGCACTGTGAGAGCAGGTGTGACCCCCAGCCCGAGCAGCAGAGCTCAGCCAGGTCACATCCCTGCTGCTCTGACTGTGGCCAGAGGGTTTGAAAGGTGAAGCTGCCTGTCCTGCTGGGCACAAACAACTTCTCAGTGGCAGCACATGGATTGTTTGGGAAGGTGCCCATGTGAGGGTGTAAAAAGGCTCCAGTGTTCTGAGTGAGGAGCTGGAATGATGGTTTTGTTTGCTGGGTTTATCTGAGCTGGTGGAGGGGAAGAGGACGGATTTTATCTGGCTCAGAGAGGATGCTGAAGGGTTAATTTGTGCTTTCTTTCCCTCTTTTCCCTCAGGATGAAGACGTGCAGCTGAGGAAGCGCAGGACTGTGCCCAGCACGGAGGGCCAGGCGAGCAGCACGGGGGAGCCGGGATAGAGCAAGGGAGGCTCAGAGCTGCACCCCATCCTACAGCAGCTGTATTTATTTATTTAATACTTCACAAAACCAAAACAACGCCTACATGAAACGAAGCAAGAGCTCAGCCTTCCCCAGCCAGGGCCGGGCTCAGCTGCTGGCACAAAGCACAGCCCGTGCTGTGCCCGGATCCCTTTGGAGCTCCGGAGAGGGGCGGCTGCCCTGGGCATCTCCTTCCTACGGGTGCCAGGAGCAGGTTATTGATCCCTGAGGCTGGCAGGGGGGCAGAGGGGCAGTTCGAAGCTGCCTTGGTTTTTCTGCTGTGTTTTAGTCGCTGTTTTTCCTGCGAGGCCCCAGGAAGGCCGGGGTGTGTCCCCTCCGTGTGCCGAGAAGGCCCCGAGCAGCAGCACTGCACAAGGGAGGGGTTTGTGGGTCGAAGCGTTGCTTTCTTTTCATACGAATCAGGTAACTCTGTAATTAACTCCTCAGTGACTGCCAGCCACGTACTCGTGAGCAGTGCTCTGACAGGAGCAAATCTGAATGTATTTTCACTTGAAATCTAAACCTAAGAAATGATTGTGAGGGGTGGCTGCGGAGCTGCATCCTCGAGTCACCAGCAGAACGTTTACTGATGGATCATGGAGCTGACACTTCTGGGCAACTCTGGAATCACCACTTGGCTGTATTTGCCCTGTGAAATAAAGTTATTTTGCTGGATTGAAATGTCTCTGTGGTTCTTTGTCTTGGGTCCTAAATGAGAAAGTTGTCAGCAAGTAAGAGCCCAACTTTGCTATATCAAAGAAATGTGCATGGTTTCCAGTTCCTCACCCCAGCAGGAGTCACTCCAGGTATTGTCAAGTGCTGGGAAGAAATCTCCAGTGCTCTGTCCCCAGGGCTGGAGCAGTTGGTGGGATTTGGACCCTGTTCAGACATCCCCTGGTGCTTGCTCTGCCTGTCTCACATCTGTCGTTGCCGGTAGCTGCACTTGGCTGGATATCCAAGCTGATTCCTGCTTTATGTAAACTCCTGCTCAGCACAAGCTCTAGGTGCTGTTGCCTTGAAGGGATTTGTCATCCAACCAGAGCACTGAAGGCACTCCTCAAAGCTGCCTCCTTCCCTGAGCTCTCTGATGTCAGTGTGAGCTGCCGGCGATGCCTCCAGGCATGACCAGGGCTGGGCAGCACCTTGAGACCAGAAACGTGTCTGGTGGCACCACCAAGGACTGTGGTGGTGCCACAATTCTGCTGAGAATTGTGACCTGTTCCCTGCATTAACCTTCTCTCTTTTCCTGGCACAGGCTTCTCCTTCTCTACCCGCCCTTCATCATGTTTTCCTCTGTCAGAATCCCAGACTGGTTTGGTTTGGAAAGGACCTTAAAGCTCGTCCAGTTCCACCCCCTGCCATGGGCAGGGACACCTTCCACTAGACCATGTTGCTCCAAGCCCTGTCCAACCTGGCCTTGGACACTTCCAGGGATGGAGCATGTCCATGAATGTGCAGCCTGTGCCCAGGGAGCAGTTCCTCTCAAACAAAATGGTATTTTCAAGTGTCAGAGCCCCAGGTGTTTTGTTCCCAGAGGAACTCCAGCCCCCTCCTCAGTGACACTACCCAGCCTGGCTGCACCTCTGGCTGGCCCCTGGCCCATCCAGAAGCAATGGAAGCAGTTGGAAACCTTCCCTGCAAGGATCATCCAGGTCTCTGATGCAGATTTTGGTTGTGCAGAGTATGTTGCAGTTGCTGGAGGCTGTTCCCTGCTATTGCAAAGAATTAGTTCTCACAAAGAAAACTTAAAATTGGCTTCAGAAGTGGAGGCAGAACAGCCAGGGGCTTCTGTGGAGGCACAGGCTGCCTGTGGAGCTGGAGAGATTGAATTTCTGCTGGGCTGGTTCCTGGGGGGAGGTGCTGGGCAAACACCTCGTGCAGCAGCAGCAGCACAGTTCAGAGCTTTGTTTTCTGACAAAACCAGATGTGAGGTCCTTCAATGTCTGTATTTAAAGGCGGTTACAGTCCAGGAACCTTTCCCTGGAAAATGGTGAATGGGTCTGGAGTACAGACTAACTCCAGAGATGACTGAGCTCCTCTGGCTGCCCTCACTGAGGCCATCCTGGGCCATCTGCCTCCTGAGGATACAGTTAAAACCAAAAGTGCCTTCAGCAGAGGTTGAATCAAACCTGCTGTCGATGGAGAGACTTTGTCACACCTGTGCTGTGACAAAGTGACCGATTCCACGTGTTCCCTGTGCCTGGCTGCCCAGGGCATCCCCCAGCCTGGGGCAGGATGGGCTCCATGGGTTATGGACCAGAAGGATGAGGGGTCTGCCAGCCTGAACCCAACTGCCTTGCTCCAGGAGAGCTCTTCCCCTCTGTTCAAATAGGTAATTCATTTCCAAGCTGTGTAGTTTCACTCCAAACCTCCTGGCAGCCAGGGGTGCTCCTGGAGCCTGGCTGGGAGTTGCTGGGCTCGTTGAAGGAGTAGCAGAAAACAAATACTGGGCTCCTGGGTGTGCTAATTAGAGCCTCTCCATTTGCATTATGCCCTGTGCCACAGGGAAATGGCACTTAGTTGAGATGTATGAAGACAGAAGACAAACCTCTGATGTGAGACTGAAAGTCTCTTCTGAATAATTGATCACGTCTTTCCTCCGTAGCTGAGCCCTGGACATTAAACCAATCTGTTCTTCCGTGCCCAGGAATGTAAACCAGTAATGGTACAAATCTAAAAGCCAAATTGTTTTTCCACTTGCTTTGCTGCTGGCTGTGTCCTGCCCAGCTGCCTGGCCAGGCAAGGCAGCGTCCCTGTGCTGGGTCAGCCCCGTGCTGCTCTTACACCCGGGGGCACCCAAGGGATCATCTGAGCAATTCCACATCTGGAGGGTTTAGTCAGTCCCTGCCTGCTTGGACACCAGCCCTGTGCTAAGGAGTGGGGCTGTGTCACCCCCTTTGTCCCCAGGCTCTGCAGTGAGGGTCCCATTGTGGCTTTGCTGGAAATGCAGCAAGAGGAGGGGGGTTGGAAGAGCCCAGTCCCAGCTCTCCTGGCCCAGGTCACCATCCTGCCAGGCCAGGTGCTGACCTTGGCTGGAACCCACTCTGCAGTTTCTTCACAGCTGTGTGACATCCCCAAAGGGGTGAAGTGTGACCAGAAGCTGGATGAATTTGGCTTTGCTGGAGGAGACAAAACAGCTGCTGAGGCCTGAAGGCTTCAGCACAGGTGAAGAGGACATGGAGCTTGTTCCCATGACAAACCTGATGCCAGGCAAGGCCAGCCCTGAGGCAGCAGGATCAGAGCAATGTCCTGAGGAGCTGTGGCCATGAGCAGTAGCTGCAGTGGGAATGTTCCCCTCTCACCTATTGCTGACACGTCTGGTGGTTGCTCATTGCTGGGGGTGAAGCCTCGACTGAGCTTTCAGAAACACGTCCCAGATGGATTTGCAGCAGATGGATCCAGCCCCCATCCTGCTGCGGGGCCTGGGCTGAGCCCCCCAGGCAGCTGGTGTGGGCAGAGGGGTGAGAAACACCCCCAGCACAGCCTGTGCTGCTCAAGGGATCTGTCATGGGGGGACAGACCTGCCCTGAGGAGAGATTTGGGAACCAGGTCCCCACTGGAGAGGGGATGCTGCGGAGGGGGGAGGGTGTTCAGAAGAAGATGGTTTGCAGGACTCCAACTCCAGCCTGGAGAGGGGACACATAACCTGGCTGTCCTGGAGCCAGTGGCAGTGACACTCCTGTCCCCACAGGGTGACCTTCTGCAGACAGCTCAGTGCAAGGAACAAACTTACTGAGTGACTTGATCAGCGCAGCCACACGAGCTGTGGAGCTCCCAGAGAGGTTCCAGTGGGGTTTGGGATGAAGAACAAATGTGGCAGCTGGAAGCACCTGTCCAAAACCCCCAGGAAGCCCTGCCCGGGCAGGGGGAGAGCTTGGATCTCATGGAGTGGGGCTCTGGCTCGTGCCCAGCTGTTGGTGACAGCTCCTGCTGCTCCTTCTCACATTTCTGGCTCTGTGTGGGGTCGTGTCTGTGCAGCCCCTCCGGGCTCTGCTCTGGCTCTGGTGGCCCCTGCGATGCTCCTTCCCTGGCAGACGTCATTCCCCCTGTGTGTCATTCCAAAATTAATCCCCTCTCCTTTGCTGGTGCTCCCTGATCTCCCCCAGGAGTGACTTTCCCCGAGTGCCACCCCAGGGCTGTGTTTGAGCTGTCAGGAGGTGGAGGCTTGGCTGTGGGTTTCATTTATTGGCGCTGTAGGAGCTGGTAGGAAAATCAGCAAACAAGGAATAAACAGGAAATATTCTCCTCTCCCTCCAGGGCTCCGTGTGCCCACACTGGCACCCACTGGTGCCCACAATCCCGAGGGCCCTTCCAAAACAGGTCCCAGGGCACAAGGTTTCACTGTGGGACCAGGGAGGAGGCACTGAGGTTGGGAAGGTGTTGTTTGTTTGATGAATGGATTTCGGGATGTGGCTTTTGCTGCCACTGACTCCCATAAATATCCCTTCTTGGCTGATGGCTGTTTCCATTCCCAGTGGGATTGGTGGGGTTTGTGTCCACGCTCCTTGCCCGTGTCCATTCCTCAGGTCACAGAGGGTTTGACCCCCTTTATCCCAGTGGCCTTAATTTGGGCTTTGGTATAAACAGTGCTGAAAGGAGCTGGCAGAGCATCCACACTTGCACCTGCATCCCACTCTTGGGAGCTGCTTTGGGAAACAGGGATAGAGCCCAACTGCCTGGGGACACTGGGAGTGAAAGCTGGGAATGCTGGTGTGTCCAGCTTCCTGCAGCCTGGGGACATCCATGCTGGGCAAGTCAGCACTGCCAGATCCCCTCCCTTACTGATATCAAGGGGTTTGGGGAAACTGTGGCACCAGCAAAAAAAAAAAAAGGCAATAAAAGCATTTGCCATTTAAAAAAAATAATAAGTAAAAGCAAAACCAAAGCTGTATTAACTCGTCCATCCTGGCTTTAGAAGACGTCATAATACATCTAAATAAGTATGGGCCAGGGTTGTTCCTGGAGGTCCCTTGCAGGAGGCAGGAGCAGCCTGAGCAGTGTTCTGAGTGCTGGGAAGGCACCTGTGCCCTGCACAAACGTGGCATTTTCAGGGGCAGAGCCGCCATCACCACTCACCAGCACCAGCAGGGATGGCTTTTAATTAAACCTCACACCATCAAGGATTGTGGACAGGAATGCATTTCCCATCAGGAAGCAGCTCTAGGGAGTCCAGCCCTGGAAATGCAGAGTTTTATCCAGAGGATCCATCGTGGCCTCCAGACAGACTGTGCTGAGCCCAAGCCCTCCTGGGGGGCACAGACACCCCTGGCACTGGCAAGAGTTGGTACTGGTGAGGTACAAACACCAAGGATGCTGCTGGAAGCACTTCTTTTTGGGAATTTGTCCCTGGCAGTGGATGTGTGGGGGAGGGAGGTGCAGCAGCGTCCTGGCGGGGCCGGGCTCGGCTCTGCGCTGCAGCACTCACGAGGTGGGTAATCTGGGGTCAGAGAGAACACCAAATGTGCATTAATTTTAAATGTACCGTAAATGACACGTTTTTCCCTTGAAGAAGGCACATTAGATGTGATGCACAGCCCCAGGGGAATGTGTGAGTGCGGCTGGTGCAGCCCTGACCTGCCTGTGCACCCCCGGGCAGGGTGGAGAGCCCCGAGCTCTGCCTGTGCTTGAGCACGTGGCTGCTCCACGGGCCACTGTGCCACAAACACCCTGCTTGCCCTTGG